GTGCTATAGCCCACGACATCCGCATGGGCCAGGCCCCTCGGACCTAGACCGCCTCAAAAAAATTTGGGCCATAAAAAATGACCTAAAGAACCATAATCACTGCCCCCCATGATTGTTCCTTATTTTTTGGCATTTACGGCCATAAAACTTGAATTCCGCTCGATTTCCTAGTTTTAGTAAGCTATAGCCCACGCCTTTCGCGTGGGCCTGAACCCCGAACCCGAATTATCTCAAATTTGTTTTGGCCATCAAAAATGGCCCGAGGAACCATAATCGCCACACAGCCTTAACCGTTCCTCATTTTTCGGTGTTTTACGGCCATAAAACTTGAATTTCACCTGATTCCCTGATTTTCGTGTGCTATAACCCACACTTTTTGCGTATGCGCGGTCCTTGGATCCAGATCAACTCTAAATTTTTAGGGCCATAAAAATGGTCTAAGGAACCATGGTCACCGCCCCGCCATGACCGTTCCTTATTTTTTTGGCGTTTTACGGCCATAAAACTTGAATTCCGCCTGATTCCCTAATTTTCATATGCTATAGCCCACGCCTTCTGCGTGGGTCACTCCCCCGACCCGGATCACCTTAAATTTTTCTGGGCCATCAAAAATATTCTAAGGAACCATAGTCATCGCCCCATGACTGTTCCTCATTTTTTGTCGTTTTACGGCCATAAAACTGTATTTTGCATGATTCCCTAATTTTCGTGTGCTATTGTCCACGCCTTCTGCGTGGGCCCGGCCTCCGGACCCTGATCGCCTAATATTTCCTGAGCCATCAAAAAGGGCCTAAGGACTCATAGTCACCGCCCCGCTGTGACCGTTCCTCATTTCTTTGTGTTTTACAGCCATAAAACTTGAATTCCTCTTGATTCCTTGATTTTTGTGTGATATAGCCCACACCTTCTGCGTAAGCCCGACCCCCATAAGTAGATATAAACGACCCCTCTAAGTAGTCCTCAACGGTCAGATAAACACTTCAACTGAGCCATTTTTTATTTTAACACTTCAAATGGCTATTAAGTAGGTCGAGCAAACACCCGACCCAGTTAGCTCATCTTGCGTGTAATACACTCGCCGAGACGCACGTCGCCTATCCATTCCAAACTTTAATAACAGTAATATACCTTAATGAAGTCTCTAATTTAAGCCCTATCTTCTCCATCTTCCTTCTGCTATACCCCTCCATTTTTGGTGACCTTCCTTTCAATTGGAAAGAATTTTTTCAAATTCAGGACATTAGACAAAGAACCCGTTCCAAAAAGGATCCAAACAGTATTCCATAAGTTTCAGAGAAGAAAATCGTTTGCGCAAACAGGAAAAAAACATGGGTAGATTCTTATCCAACAACACCGCCTCAGCTTCCCCCTCCGCTTTATAATCTTCTCCATCTTCATCTTCATCTTCTTGTTCAAGTCCCCATCTTCGGCGAGGTTGAGCAGTTGGTTTCTCCATCATCAAATTGCCGCTTCAATCTTAATCGGCAGCTTCTTCTCTTCCTCGGACTCTATAACTTGCTTCATCGTCTTCATCAGCTCACCGTTGCCGGCAAAATTGGCGCTATCGGTTTCTCTATCGTCGAATTGCCGCTTCATTTGATAGATAAATGAGGAAATCAAGGAATTTTACTATTAGTTATTTGGAAGAAACCCACTTGCTGGTTGCTTCTTAAATTGATGTTAAAACATTTACATAACTCCAATTGGACAGATTATTGATGGGAATTGGTTCTTAATTATCAATTTGTTTGTTTTGGTCTATTATTTTTTCGTTGTATGCATTATTCTGGGACAACATGGTGGATTTGAGTAGAAGGGATGGGCTGAAGAAGATGAAGGAGAGGGGGTGGGGGGGAGGGTGGGAGGGGAAGGGAACATTGGTTTAGGAAAAGAAGGTTTTTTTTAAATGTATTTTTTTTATTAATTACATGTGTCAAATTCTTATGGCAAAATTACACGTGTCATTTTTTATTGGTCCATTTGACATGTCATCGGCAAGTGTAACTCACGCATATGGCTTGTTATACTCGGGGTGTTTACTTGACCTACTTAATAGTCACTTGAAGTGCTAAAATGAAAAAGGGCTTAGTTAAGTGTTTGTCTGACCGTTGAGGACTACTTAGAGGGGTCGTTTATGTATTTCGCCAAATTTAATATCACCTTAATACTTTGTTTGGTTAACAAACCCGGTATAAGTTATCCCGGGATTAAAATTAGTACCGAGATAACTTATACCTCGTAGGGGGTGGGGTAATTAGTGCTGGGATAACTTATATCTTCTTCTTAGAAATTATGCAATTGTCATTTTTAATACAATATACCAAACAATGGATAAAAAAACAATACCAAAATAACTAATCCCAACATAACTTATCATGGTATAAGGCATATTCAAACCAAACGACCCCTTAGAGTATTAAATTCGACAATTTAAACTCTAGGATAATATCATGGAACTTTAGGACAATGGCGGCGCCGGAAAATGGTCCGTTGGCGCTATTTTTACCAATTTTCCCAATTGTCCAAAAGAACAAGATTCTCAAGCCATATGGACCATTTCGGGAATTTGCTTTCTTTGGGCCGAAAGAAGGAGCCTGATAGGCAGGCCCAGCTAAAGAGTAGAACCTACAAAATAACACTTGCTCCACCATTCGGCCCGCTCTTTGCCTCCTTCCCTGAAACCCTAGTGAGTGCTCTCTCCACAGCCTCTCTTTCTCTCTTTCTTGGTTTTGGTTTTAAGCTAAATTGAAAAGGTATTTTTGTTGATTGTATACAGGAAAGTGTAACTGTAAAGTGAAGGAGCAAAAATGTCGGACAAAACTAAAGGAAGAAAAGAGGAAGTGGTTACTAGAGAGTACACCATCAACCTCCACAAGCGCTTGCATGGCTGGTATGTATTATCTTTTTATGCTTAAGGATTATTTGGCTTAGGATTCTTATTAATCCTGATTTGATATTCAGTTTCATAGTCTGAATCAGTGTTTGGTTATTGTACCCAAATCAGATCATTTATTAAATAAAATATCAAGTACTTAATTTAATAAAGCTGTCTATTTTATGATTATCGTTTATCTAAACTAAGCTGAAGAAATCAGGCACTTGATCATCGAGCTATGTTATTTTCATTTTCAATTTTTAGTACCTGACTTTTGCTAATCCGTTTATGTGTATGTAAATGTATGATAGTATTGGGGTTTTTGAGTTTTATAGTGTGATGTTTAGTTCAGATACCCAAGGAAAGAAACTAGGTTGCCCTTGTGTGCTTGCATGAGCAAAATTTTACTAAAAATTGATGAACTTATAATAAAATTTGTAAAATAGTGGAAAAGAAAATCTATGAATGGAATTGAAAGGCAATAAATCTCACCTAAGAGCTTTTAGGAAGAGAATGTTGGCATCCTTCAATACTGTTATACACCAAAATCACTTTTTCAAGCATAATTATCAGTTGTTGATTTAGCTGAGTAGAAATGTGTGTAACAGAGACAGTCTAGGTACAGTTTGATTTTTTAGCTTCTGTCAACCAATCAAAGTACCATTACTTCACAATGTTGGTAGGGTTGTAATTTTTCTATTTCAAAGTCATTTGAACGGAGCGTTCGTGTTGAAAGTAGCAAAAAGTGAGCAAATAATATGAGCTTCTAGTTTTCAGTTATGTTCAAAAAATATAATTATGTGATGCAAAACCTTATTTTGTGAGCAGCTTGGGACCCAATTATTGACATATATGTTCAAACTCCCATGCTACAGAGTATTTCCTTGCCTCAATTGCTCTGTTAGCAAAAGTTCCTAAATTCGTCAAAAGAAAAAAGCTTTTACAGTGAGTGGGAGTGGGGGTTGAACTTATAGCATAAAATTCTAGACCAAACGAGCAGGAGCTGAAATTTGAGACCCATAAACATAACATCATAACCTTTCAAAAGGAGTAATTTGGAAGATAGTGTAACATCAGAAGAATTTGAGCTATCATTTCATTTGTTAGTGGCCATTTCTGTGAGCGGACTGCCTAACTATAGATTGGTGTTTTGTTAATAGCACATTCAAGAAGAAGGCCCCTAATGCTATCAAAGAGATCCGTAAGTTTGCACAGAAAGCAATGGGAACAAAGGATGTCAGAGTGGACGTGAAGCTGAACAAGCACATCTGGAGCAGGGGTATCAGAAGTGTTCCAAGGAGGGTCAGAGTTCGTATTGCTCGCAAGAGAAATGACGATGAAGATGCGAAGGAGGAGCTCTACTCTTTGGTTACAGTAACTGAGATCCCACCAGAGGGATTGAAGGGGCTTGGCACTAAGATCATTGAGGACGAAGATTAAGCTATCTATCAGTACTGGAGAATGATTAAAAAAAAATACATGATGCTTTTGTAATTCTTTGAGACTGATCAATTTTGTTAGGAAACTTAATTTTGTTTTTTTGGATCATCCTATTTGCCACCAGTTTAATTGAATCATCTTTTCTGTTCTTCATGGTTTAAGTATCACTGCAGTCATTACGTTTTGTTATGTTATTACTTGTTGCTTTTGTTTCTGAATGTAGTACCTACTCTTAGTTTTATATTTTTGCTTCGGTTTTCCAATTGGTATGCTTGCTGTTGTCCTTTTAACTTTTTTGAGCCGATGGTCTATCGATAGACCCTCGGCCTTCTTGAAGGTAGGGGTTAAGGCCTATGTACACTCTACCCTTCCAAGACCTCACTAGTGTGATTACACCAAGTGGTTGTTGTTGTAGTCATTACGTTTTGGCTGCTTAACGTGGATTTGGATATGTTCTCTAATGGGTTAGTAATTGCATGCTTTGAGAATCTCTTGTAACAGAATCTACAATTTTATTTTAGTACATAATTACAGCTTAAACTCGTATATGGAAAAACTTCTTCAATATCATTTCTGTAACCTTCATTTTAAAACCAATACTCAGCCCTTATTTTCCAGGCTAAGGTGAAGTAAAATGAGCAGAAATTTTACCCGACCATATGACTCAGGGCTTCAACTTTAGTGGTCATCAACAACAAAATTAACTTCTTTGCTTAAATTGATCTTGCACAAAGGAACTAGCTTGACTGTTACACATTGGTCTTTCACTGTAAAAGTATAGTTCGGCTACTCAATAACATCTATTTTCTCAGACAAAATCAATTAACATTCAGAAGGAAGTATCTTATTACAATCAGATCACCGACCTATATTTGCAGATCTTAGAAGACAAGTTCATATACAAAGAGCCCAGTGAAGTCGAGAATCCGAATAACAAGTAACCTGTGTGAGGAATAATAACATGCACAGAAGTCACCATTTTGTTGATTGGCATTTAGCAGCTTTGCTACCATCATTGAGGTAATGTTGGAAAGTCTGAATAACTTCCTCGTACGTTGGCCTCTTGTAGTCTACGGCCTGTTATCAGAAACACAAGGTTCCCAATTTAGATTTTTGACATGCATAAAAGTGTATAGAGAATTATAGTAGCTAGACACTTCGCCAAACACCTGCTCAATTACATCTTCTGGCCTCGCCCATTTCCACTCTGAGAATTCTGCCTCCGCTTCACCAGTCGCTAAGTTGATCTCACTTTCATCGTTGGTAAATCTCATAAGAAACCTGCCAGTCACAAAAATATTTTCTTAAGCCAAGTTTAAGTTACAAACAGATATCTAACAATAGCAGAAATGTGGCATTTTGGCAGAAAACTAGACAAAAGCTTATGGAATACAATTGTTTATATACTTCTCTTGTTAAATGAGCGGTGAATCCAAATCATACAACAACAAGCCCAGTGGAATTCCACAAGTGGGGTCTGGAGAGGATAATGTGTACGCAGAGCTTACCTCTACCTTATGAAGGTGGAGAGGCTATTAGCGATAGACCCTCGGCTCAAGAACAGTGAAAGGAAGCAATAACCAATTAATAGCAACAAGAAGGTAAAAGGCAGCCGCAAATCCAAATCATAATCAAGTAAAAAGGAGCACTGATACTAATCATTTAACCAAAGTACATTCCACAGTTGAACCACTAATTTGAAAGAAATTACGCAGAATCCTCATTTTACAAAAGCAGAACTGCAAAAGTAGGAAATCTAGATCTAATTGCAGGCTGTTGCTTTACCATTACCGATACCCCAAGTTCATTGCTGACCCTTTAAGTAATTAATCCATTAGCTCCCTAGGCCACAGATCCTTCAATTTTCTTGACCTATCAGTATCGAATGGGTGTGAAACGTTGTAGAGTACGTCTAAGAAAATCTTCAAAATATACACAAAATTAGAAACAAAACTAGATGTACCTATGGGATTCTTGTACACACGCTTACCAAATACAGGTACATATTCCCGAGTTCATGTAACATAGTTAGCCCCTGGTAATACAGGAAATATTTGATTTAAACTACATCGGCTCCCAAGTCCCAAAATGAGTACAAGACATATCTATTGCTATAGCACTCCATACTTCTTTAACGTGAATGAAACTCCTTACTTAGGGTGACATAATTCACCAGAGGATAGACCAAGAGGTAGCTCCACTTAAAGGAGAAATTTTCCTAATACCTTTTCTAGTGCATTTGAGTGTGACTGATTCAGAATATAATTTAGGATGTAGGTTATCCTGAAAGGACCGTTATTTTTCTCCTGACGCGGGACTTGTTAGCATCATTTCATAATGTAATTGAGGACATAGAGCAGTGAACTATCAACACTATGCTCAGGTTGCACAATTTCCCTTTCACATCAAATTTTAAGTATTACTACAATTTAATATGAGTAACAAGAATGACATAATTCCATATGACCGTCTATAAGTATTACAACATATTCACATTGACTAGAGTGTCACACATCCAGGGAAAAACAGTTTCTGAAGCATATGAAAAAACTCCAGTGTGAGAAAGTCAACAACTTTTCAGCTAGACTGCCCTCATACCTATTACTTTGTTAATTCCAAGTTAAGACTAAATGAATTTGACCAAACTGGAGTTAATAGGAAATAGTTCAAATTTGATGAAAATTAAGTACATTTAACTTTTTTTTAAAACAGATAGTCGTTAGTAGATTTTAACTCTAGACCATTAAATCCACTTCCAAAGGAAATCCACCGACATTTTACATTTCAGTGACATACCGAAAAATTTCAAATATGAAGGTGGAAAATATTCAGTAGTGAACAAGAGTGATGATGAAATAGTTGATATCAGAGGAAGCACTCCCACTTAACTGTAATCTTTTCTATGCAAATCACAAGAAAACCAGATTTCTAATGAATTCACATACATTTAAGTACTGATGAATGAAACCTGACGGTCGTCTTCCTTCAGAGAATAACTCGTTCCTTTATCACCTATGCGCTTTCAGTAATACCTTTCAGACCAACCAAAGCCCACAGCCAAAGGAAACTACAACGAGTGTTACGTTTTTCCAGTGTGGGCCTGTGGAGAAAGATGACAAAATCTACGAGATGCATGTGAATAGAGGAGGGAGAGAAAGAGAGTGAATTGACAAGGACTAAATGGACCTCACTCACCCATACCACAGCAATTTGATACCATTGCTCCATAGAGAAAGTAAGAATAAGGGATCATATAAAATTTGATGAAGCAAGCATGAGTGACTCACAGGAAACAAGTCGTTTATGGCCACAATGTTCCCCTTAGCTCTCTTTTGAAATTCATTTCCACAAATTTTTATGATTGACAAGCACAATATTCCCCTTGGAAGTATACTTAACAAAAACTTATTCAACTTGATACACATTAAAAGAATAAAATATTAGCTTATCAAAATACCATACGGTACCTACCATTTCTGTGCCTGTCCATGCCATTCTCCTCCCCAAAGACGGCTTACTTTGGCCTTTACAGCTGGTGGAAAGTCATAGGTTAACCACTGTGGGACCTGACAATATGAAACCACCTTTATAGATAAACGAGTAATCATTTGATGAATCTAATAGTTTGGAACCTACCAAAGTTTCATGTTTTCGCAGGATAAATATTTTGGGTATCCTAGGGAAGTTAATAATTAACATGACACAACCTTGACATACTATCCAAAGAAAGAAACTTTTCACTTTTAACTGACCTCTGCAATTATTTCAGCTGATATTACTCCAGTTTCTTCACGCAATTCCCTAATGGCAGCAGATCTTGGGTCCTCTCCATCTTCAATGCCTCCCTAACTCCGCAAGAATCAAATAAACCCCATAAGACAGCTAAATTATACAAGCACGGCTAAGAATTCATTGAGTGAGTCTAGTTGATAAATATTACAATCCATGTGTTAGATTGCCAAAATGCTAGGCAGCTAACTAGGTGCCACAAGTTAGTCTGAACAAAGGGTAGATAAATTTTGGCTGATAGCACGAGGCAATTTTCACTTAAGGATCAGAAGTCCAATGCTATAAAGTTCCTGCTTTCAAATATTAATAATCAAGGCTAGACAATGATTCTATTCCTAGCCAGCTGACATTGAACCACCTTCAACAGCGAATAAATCATTTGAACGTTTGAGAGTAAGGAAGATACTAATAGCAATTAACCTGTGGCATTTGCCATGCTCCAGGAACATTCAGTCTGGAAGCCACGAAAACCTGCAAATTGCATCACGACCATATAAATACACAGTTTCTTACCTATTTATTTACTTAGCAGATAACATTCTGCCATAACAAGTTCCATTAATAAAAAATTTCAGGGAGAAGTGAAAATTATTATCTTATTATGATTATGTATATTGGATAAAGGAAGACGCAAAAAGAGGAAACGATAAAATGAAATTTCTGGGTGCAAGTCTCAACCCCTAAAGCAGCTAAGAGGCAAGATCATATAAGGAAACCAAAGGACCACACCCCCACCAATGTGGAGTATCCAACAATCAAATACTCTAAAAAGGTAATCAACACTGAGCCGTTTAAGGTGAGAAAATCAGAAGTTCATCAAAATGTTGAAAATGTCATTAGTCATGAAACGTACAAGGTGGAAAACATAACAATACATCTATTGGCAGAAATATAGTTCTTTCCCGTCTATGTGGAAGTGCTAACCTTGTCTATGGAACCCTAACATAATGACAACCAGTGGACTCCTTTTCTACACTGTCATTCCAAGAACACAGACAAGATTAAACCAGCTGAAATCTACCTCAACTCTAACATTATTGTGCAGGTTCGTCGCACCTATTGTTCCCTATTCTCCTTCTTTATGTTTTCGGGCTTGTTCGAGTTTTAGTCCTTTGTTTTTAGCTCCTATTTGACAAATCAGAAAGCTAAAGCTACCTAGTTCTACAAGTCATAATAATTATTGACATAAAGTAAAAGCGCTCTCTTTTAGCATCCTTTACAAGATTTCTTTTTTCTTCCTTAGAGATTAGATTTAGATGCAGGTTAGACCAATAGACAATCACTTTTTCTACCATTTAACAAACATCAATATCTCAAATATCCCAACCAACTAAAATCTCAAATTGTCACCCCTTTGATTAACAGCTCCATTACTGATTTAATCCTTTCCCTTGCATTTTCAGTATAAGCACCACTGATGATTCTCAAATCAAACCTGTAACCATCAAACTTAACTTCACCAACGCGATAATAATTCCTTAGATCCAAATAGAGAAAGCAACATTCAAATTAGCCATAAAAAAATCAAAAAGACTTAAAGCCCAAAAACAATACAATAAATCTTGATGAGATGGTAATTGTATACCAATAGTACATCAAATGATTCGCTGAGGCTGAAAAAAAAATATCAAATTTTAATCAAGATAACTAACTGGAAATTCCAACTAATAAGAAACCTATAAATGGTCAATTCCAGAACCACAAACCAAAGCAAACAAATCAGCTATCAATAAAATTAAGTTAGAACGGCAGCAGCTTTATTTATAGAGTAGAAAATGAAAGGAATAATTCAATAAATGTTTAATAAATGATAGGGAGAAAAGAAAAAAAAAAAAGGTACCAAATGATCGTGGTTGATGAGACAAATACCAACGTTGGGACGATAACCAGAGGGGAGTCCCTCCATTGAAGCTGCTGCACTTTCTTTTCTCGGATATATTGTCTTTGTACAAATGTTTTCTCACAGAAAGTCAGAGAGAGAGAGAGAGAGAGAGGGATCACTATCAGAAATCAGAAGAGCAATATGATAAAAGTCAAAGCTTTGTACTACTAGAATTTAAAAAAGAGAAAAAAGAGTTTATGCATTTTGCTCAAAGGAATGAGGTGATGATGACGCTCTGTTTCACTATTTCTCGGATATAATTTCTTTTTTATATTCATAATTTACTGATCCAACTAATTAGGATATTATATCTTATAAGTAATATTCTTGGTGGTTTCATTTAATTAGACATAATAACTAATTTTTAGCATTTTCAATTTTACATAACCGTGTTTAAATAGAAGCTTAATTCTACCAAAAAAAAGAAAGAGAATTGGTTTTAAGGCATAAAGTAATTATATATCGTACTGTACATTAAGAGTTAAGCAAAATAACAACAACAACAACAACAACCCAGTGTAATCTCACAAGTGAGGTCTGGGGAGAGTAATATGTACGCAGACATTACCTCTACCCCGAGGGGCAGAGAGGCTGTTTCAGAGGAAGTTAAGCAAAATAAGAAAGTTAAAATTAAAGAATATTCTAATATATATACAAAGGTGTCAATCATTTTAGAAAGAAACAATCTTACTATGAGCTTGTTTGTGCATTTCTGAATATTAGACGATTAATTTGCAAACTCTTGATAATTGATGATGTGAAATAAACTCAGCAATTATCCCTAAATTTTATTATAGACCAAATTATATTCTTATTTTTGTGTGTGGGTATTGAATTGCCTATATCTCATCAATGATGTCCACGGGCTGAGTATGGACCCTATCCCATGTTATTTTTGCTGGAATAAAGGAATTTAATAGTTACATGATAACAATGCAACAACAACATACCCAATATTATCTTACATTGTGGGATCTGAGGAGAGTAGTGTATACGCAGACCTTATTCCTAACTTGTAAGGATAAATGAGTTGTTTCCAATAGACCCTCGGCTCAGAAAAGTATAAACACCGCATTAATGAAAATATAGACAAGAAGGGATAGTACCAAAAACCATATAAAAGCAGAATAAAAACAACAAGATAGTAAAGTGATCTTACATGATAACAAGGAATATTAAGAAATTCTATTTATTGAAGTGTTCGCTAATAATAGTTTAATAAATGCATTTATACCGTATTTTTATCAAATCATTAAAGACATTTTGTCTTTAATTAAACTTGGTTCAATACATGATATTTTCTCTCTTGAACTAGCAAACAAATTTCACTCTTAATTTTGCAATATGACTCATTAGTGACCCAATCACGTAAAAATTGAAACTTAAGACTTTCTTTACACATGATATGGCAAGGTGGAAAGTTCTTGAGGGAAGGATGCCGGGGGTCTATTTGAAAACAATCTATTTGGAAACAGTTTCTCTACCCTAGGGTAGGGGTAAGGTCTGCGTACACACTATTCTCCCCAAACCACACTAAATGAGATTATATTGGGTTGTTGTTGTTGTTGTTGTTGTGATATGGCAAGTGTGTATTAAACAAAAAAATTGAAGCATCTCAAAAGTTAACAAAATGTGTAAACCAGCTATTTTTATTCCCTGATTTCAACGCTTAAATTCTTTACTTTCCTTTCTTTACAGTTAACCAATTTTTCTTCTTTTCATTTTTAATCTTTTATTCCACAACTAAAAATTGGAGTCTTTTTTTTTTTCCTAACCTTCTTCTATCAAAATCAACGTGTGTATCAACTCATTGAATATTCATTATTTTGTATCGTTTCATTTTATATGACAGAGAGATGGGTGCCAATAAGTTATTGCAGACGACTACTACGATTGAAAAGAGGAGTTAGAAAAATAAAAGCGAAAAAAAAGAGTGCTCATAGAAAAAAAAGAGTTTCTTTTAGGAAAAATGATACTTTATAGCCGATATAAAAATAATAGCCATATTATATACAAAAATTATACATTTTCCAGCTACCAAATATAAATAGTTTCTGGCGCGGACTAAAAGTGATTATACCCCTTTCTTTTATTTTGTACCTAGTTGACACAACTTGCATATTTGTTTTTTGTTCTACAGTTCCAAAAATTGTGGATTTAAGAGTATAAGATTTGGTTTCATTAATTTACTAAATAAAAAAAATCACCCAAAGACAAATAAAATTTCTCTACAAAAAGAAAAGGACAAAAAGAGCAGAGAAAAGAAATAGTGGAGGGGAAGAAGGCGTGTTGACTTTTTTTAGGAATTTTTGAGTGGAAAAAAGAATCTAATAATGGGGGAATGGCATCATCTTCAGGTGGATTTGTCATTATTTTATGTCATAAAGAAAAGAATAACCTTAATAATATCCACGCCCTACTTTTTAATTTGAAATTATTTAAGGAGTCATTAAAAGCCACTTGTCATTATTATAATTACTAGCATATGGGTTGAGTACTACTTAATTCAATGCACAATTAATGGGGTAAAAGTCCACTTATTTAGTCACTTTCCCCCCTTTATCCAAAGTCAACTTAAATTGCTTAATTTGATCGTATTTTTTCAATTGATGCTCTTACTATGTTGAAAATGTTTTGGTATAATTAGGATCAGTATCAAATAAATCACTGCAGTATTACATTTAGAATTGCATAATCAAATCTTCATATCAAAATCTGATTATATGTTTGTAGACAATATATTTACGTCAAAAAAATAGAATCAAGACCGAAAATATTGCAACAATCGTAGTATTTTTATTTTGAATATTTGAGTGTACAATCTCTATGATTCCTCTGATTCTACTTTTCTAGTATAAATTTAAGGTCTTTTGAGCTTGATCTTGAATTTGAATTTGATTTAACCGTCGCGAACACTTTGATTGTTGCCACGAAATGTATAACGAACAAGTAGCCTTGATCTTGAACCTTGTATTTGATTTGACTTCGTTCTTGATCTTGAATACTTGAATTGTTCTTCGTTCTTGAACTTGAACTTGATTTCTTGAACTTGAACTTGGTTGCTTGAAGTCTAAAATTTGTAGAGAAATTTGCGGCGTTTGATCTACGAGCTCTCTCTTGCTTCTTATTATAACTTCTGGTTATCTCCGTGATTTGAGGGTATTTCTCGAATGTAGGATGATGCATACCTCCTGGGGATATATTTGATCTCCAGCTTCTTGGACTATTTGATTGTCAAGAAGTATCCGGCTATATTTGGGGATATATTTGATCTCCAGCTTCTTGAACTATTTGATTGTCAAGAAGTATCCAGCCATGTTTTGATCTCTTTGTGAATATCCCAAGAGTTTATGGGATTTTGAGACACCTCTTCAAGGGAATATGTATCCCTTTATATAGGTGTGAGTTAGGGTTTAAGATAGAGTAACCTCCAAGAAACCCTAATAGACTCCTAGGATTTCAAGAGTCCTGTAGTATCTTTAATTTAGGATTTGGCTTGATTCGTCAAAATTTCGATGTCTACGAATGCCCCCTACTTCAAGGTTTGTCGGGGTGTAGACTTGCCGAAACTTGAAGACAAGACTTGAAGTACTCAACCATCGCAACAAATGGTTTTGAAACTTGGAGTTTTCAATTTACAAGAGGAAGAGATGAAGGACAGAATTGGTCCCACTGGGCGTGCCAGAATTTGTAGACAATAAATTTACGTCGAGAAAATAAAATCAAGACCGAAAATATTGCAACAATCGTAGTATTTATTTCGAATATTTGAGTGTTACAATCTCTATGAATCCTCTGATTCTACTTTTCAACGGAAAATAAAAGAGCATTTGGGCTTAATCTTGAATTTTATTTTATTTTGATCCAAGTGCTTGAGGCATGATCTTGATCTTAACGTATTTTAATCCAAGGGCTTGCAACTTGTTCTTGAATCTTCGTCTTGATTTTTAATCCTTAGAACACTTGAATACTTGTAGCTTTTAGAGAAATCTGCAGCGTTTGATCCACGAGGCTCTCTCTTGCTTCTTGTTATAACTTCTGGTGTCTTTTCTGAGTTATGAAGATCCATATTTATAGTTGTGGAAAGGAAGAGTTATGATAAGAACAAACTCTTTCCGACCAATCAAATTAAAGTGTGACAATGCTGCATTTGATTGGCCGAAACATGTCACTTGCACATGTGGCGTGATTTTATTGGCTTTTTAGTGTGACTTGGCATGCCTTGTCATTTTGACACGTGGCATAATCCTATTGGCTCTTTCGTTTGACTTGGCGCGTCACGTCATTTGACACGTGGCACCAAACTGGGCCTTTAGGAAGATAACATCTTGGGCTTAATGAAGTGGGCTCATCACTTTAGCCCAATTAAATGGGCTAACCCAATGGATTAAGACTTAATTAATTCAATTATATTAGCCTGTAGTATTTATTTGGGCTAATATATCTTGAATTTAAAATATAACCCAAATTATTTTATGAATTTAATTTTAATAAAATTTATATGCCTACAAATGCCCCTTACTTCAAAACTTGTCAAGGTGTAAACTTTAAAGGCTAGGTTTGAAGTAACTGTAAAAAAAGAAAATTACTTTTTCCGTTTACTCAAAGTTTAAGGCTTACTCCTTATGGTCATAAAAATATTTGTCATTGACTTAATAAAATAATGATTATCATGGATTAGAATATTGGATAGGATAATAATCTTTTTGCTACACGTCAAAGTGTAAAATGACTTCACAACATTTCAATGAACTTATACAGTACTTGCTTTCCTTATCAAATAGAGACTCCTTAGTCTGAAAGCAAATCGTCAAACACCAGACTCCTTGTATTATCTTTAGTGGTGTTCCTCATTACACCAGACTCCTTGTATTTTATACGGACTAGGAGACAAATCGTCCAAGTCCGTGTTGGAGACGAATCGTTGCCAAACTTTTCAACTGATCCCACATCGAATTGCATATTATTAACGCCTCTCTCCGTATTTGTTGAGCATCAATTCGCAGTACTCGTAAGTCAGTTGAGTCTATTTTTGTGAACTCGAAAGTATTAACGCGAAGGTAATTTCTTCTTTTTTCTGTGTGTTTTTCTTCTTTTGTCATTTTTTTTGTATGTCAAACAAGGAAAATGTGTTCTTTTTC